AAAATGGTTTAATTGATGTTTTTATAAATAAAGCAACAGTCGGGAACTACCGGAACAGATAAACAACGGGGGCCTAGGAACACAAACGAAAACCTAAAATATGCAGGCTACTTCTTTTCCCCCGCTGGTAGGTGAGCCTGCTTTGATTTATAGTCGACTACAACCCTTCGTTATAAATTTGTCTGGATCCGTGTTTACTTTTTGTCTCGTTAAGTAGGTGTGATATTTTAAAAATAGATTACAAGAACCCCGAAAATGTGTATTTTATGGAAAAGCCGACTGAAAAGGGGGAAAATTTGTTGATAAATAAAGGGCGAAAGAATTTTTAAATTGATATTAAACAGAATACCAAGTGTTTTAAAACGAATATAAAACTTTGGTTAAATTTAGAGTTAAAAAAACGATTTTTCTAAACAACACAAAATTAATTTTATAATTAGAAATTAATTATCATCTAACGTATTACAAAAATCCACTCAACCCTAATTTCCTTTCATTGCCCGAATAAATTTTCATATATTAACTAGCAAAAAAACACCCCAAGCAATATGCAAACTAAAATTATAAGGGAACAATTTAAAAGCTATTATCCAAAAATTTACGGCCATTTTCTTAATTACACCATTTTAATTAATCACGTCGACAATAATCTCTACAATATGTTCAACTAAAATTACTAAAGGAAGGAATTACAATAGAAAATATGGATTTGCGGCCGGTGAACCTTCCACACTCCTTTTTATGCACGTTTAAAAAATTGTGAATATGTGCAGTACCTAACCCAATTGGCGTATTAGAAGATAAATTTGACGCGAATGAAATTATTTACCGGTACACGTACAGCTCACTGACCCGTCAAAATGTTGATGCTAATTGTTTACACTCCGCGGCATCTCGTAAAATTTGCCTTAAGGTGAGCACTTATCTCGATGCATGCAACGCGAGCCGATATTACGGCAAGTTTTCCCAGCGAGTTTCCTCTTGCTCGGATAGTTTCGCCGAAACCGCCACTTAATCGACGAAAGTGACGTCGACAAGGAGTAAATTTTCCGGCTTAAAAGTATCATATTCGTCAGAGTTGAGTTGTCTAGACGGTGTGTTTGCGTATTCTGTAAACTAATAGGGAAAAGGGATGGCGGTGGGATAAGGGATGATGAGTTTTCCTGTTTAAATGAACGTCAGAGTTTGAGTTTCTTTCTGGTTTTCGTTAGATTTATGGTGATCTCCGGTGGTTATGAGGTGCAGATTAGTGGTAAAGGCAATGTGAAGAGTGCTTGTTTGTCAGTAAATGCACAAGGCAATGAGCAAAAGGAAAAGGAAATTATAGTTTACATACGAATGATATAGAGGTGCTCTTGTAACATAATACTCTGTGTCTCCATTTAACTAAATTTCCATAAAGTTACAATGACCACTTTTAGTTGATAACGGTGTACATATTTAATTAGTAACTTAGTAAAATAATCTTGGATTGAGTGTGTAGTAAAAAATCGATATAACAAAGCAACAAATTGTCTTCATTTTAATTGCCACTAGAGGAATAAAAATTACGAAATCGTCGTCAGCGTTTCATATAAAATCTATTTAACTGTCCACAGTTATTATTTTAGTGCGGTTTTATAGTTCGCATCGCATAAACTGTTGATGATGCAACGACAGTAGTAAATCGAAGATAAACCTTTCGGCGTTTTCTCACTCGGCTACCGTCGCTCATAATTTCTGGTTAAATATTTTACATTGTTAAATACCGTCGAATTTTTACGATTCCTGCGGTGCAGAAGCTCTACTCGCATTACGGGAAAGCGCTCTCGCGCCTCGCATCGCTGTTGATGAATCGGGACGAAGCGATGTGTAAAAAAAAGTAAACGAAAATGAACACCAATTCGTCGACTAAAGAACGCAGATGGAGTGTGGATATAAAGTGATCTCGCTTTCGCGGAATCGATAAGAGCATAAAGGGTCCGGGACAGGTATAATAGAATCTCGGAATGCATGCCCGTCGTTTACCGCCGAAATATGGCGGGCGAGTAATAAAAGCGAAAATTCTGTAAGACAGAAAATGGTTTACGAGATACGAGATCGTGTTTACGATTGCAGTGCGAACGTTGACGCCGGCGAGCTCGATATAAACGAGAAAAAAAGCAGGAAATTTTGTAGCTATTCATGAGAAATTCATAAACTTGTACTACAATACCCACAATAACGACAACCACTCAAGCTAAAAGACTAAACGGATTCTGTCTCGAGTACACTAATAATTATCCTAACGACTGAGCCACTTGCGTGTATAGCTGCAAAAAAAGTATTTCTGCAAAAAAGCGTCGCAAGTTTTCATTGTATTTCGAGCCAGAAGGAAATAAATCACAATTTTAAAACACCTTCCAGATTCTATGACTATAAATTAGAGTTGTAATATCCTCGATGTCAGCAACAAAATAGCGTGATATATGCCCGAGCTGAATATCTAAAAAAGAGGTTGAATTTTAAGATTCCATGCAAAGGCTCATTAAAAAGCGATTATTTTTTTGGTCGGGTCTCGGGTAAAAACGGGCTGACGAACGGGATTTTCGAAAGGAAAGCTATTCATATTAAAAAAAAACCTTGCGGAAAAGCGCAAAAAAGTTCCGAAATTAAGAAAATTAATTAAAACCGAAGAAGAGATAAATTGACGGGTTAGACAGAATGTTACGTTAGCTCAAATGAAAATAATTTGTAAAGTTAATAAACAATTTAAAGCGATTTGCATTTGTAGTTTCGACGAAAACATCAAACTTCTGATTTCACTCCTCGAAATGCTCCGTTCCATTAAAATGTAGATAAGGGGTGTTCTCAAATTTCGCTGTGAATGCTAATGCAATGACCGTGACCTTACACTAAGCCTCTTTTTCAACTTTCTCGGAAACCGTCTTAATGTAATTTATACAATAAAATCGATTGTAGACTAAGCTAAATGTGTAAAAATATACCATTTGCTCAACTAAATTCTATTTCACCAGAAATCTTCCTCTAAACTTCGCGTATTACAAAGTCTAGAAAATCGGCCACATTTTATTAATATATTTTTTCTCGAGTCTCTAGGGAGGTTTAGCATTGCAAGGCATCAATCACAAAATTAAAGAAAATTTAAAGAAACTTCTTGGCCGAGAACTTCCCAATGGTAGGTGATAAATAAATTACCCCGATTGAAGCCGGCGAGGAAATGCGCGATGAAGAATACCGGAACGTTGCTCGATGCTCGTAAATCATTACGAACGGGCATTATTCAAAATTCTAATACGGTGATGAGGTCCTCGAGGGAGCGGAAACTTTTTTCCCTGCATGTGTGTATAAAGTAAGCTGTTATTCACACTCGAACTTTCCCCGCCGGTAAATATTTTTACGCGGAAACTTTCGAGTCGACTCCCATTCGACTGCCGACGTCCTTTTATGTCTTCCTGATATTATAAAAAATATACTACAAACATATTCGAATGCTAAGTATAACGACTATTCATAATCGCGATATATGCGATCAGTTTTCTTTCCTGCCGAGTTTTCATTGAATAGATTTAATATGTATTATGGAATCGGTAAACCCGAAACATCATCAAGCTTTTACCTGCGAGCTTTTCTTTTCGGGCAGGTGTTTCGAATTATTTAAAATCGGCGCACGTCACGGCGGGAATGGAAAAATATTAACTCGATTTTGCGACGCCCGCGTCGAATATAAAGATCCTCCTCGTAAATACGAGCGACTTCCTCTTCTAATCCCTTTTCTCATCAAGCGCAGAAATATTTTTAAAATAGGGAATTACCGACGGGTAATACGAACCAACGACATTTAATTCCATCAGGATTTTTATATTATTCGTTTATACACACGTCTCTTTGAGCGCCAGCTTTTTAATCCCAGGAAGTTCAATTAATTAGAGCTTAATTAAAAAATTTAGTTTGACAGGTGCAATATTGAAAAATCTAAAAAAGTAATTGGAATAAAGTTGTATAGAATTTGCAATAGGGTTACATTAATTAAAACACATCACAGAATAGTTTTGAATGAGCCATAGATAGAGCCCGAGATTGTGCTAGCTGGAATGTTAGTTCCGTTGGAATATAAAAGCTTCAACGTAAAATTTCCTGAAATCCCAACCGAGTATAGGTAAGCGAAACTCAGCGTATACGTATAGAGAAATTGTTGTATGCAAAATAAAGCTGTAAGCGTTCGTCCCTCGGGCGCTTTCCCGGCCGAATTTTCTTCCCGGCTTTTGTTTTCTTTCGCAAATACCATAATTTCGCGGTGAAGTAAACGAGTGGAAAATGAAACGAAACGAATTTTCGGCTCGGTAATGCGGCCGATAAACGCTGGCTAATTCAAATTGTCTATTAAATATTCCAAATATTTGACAACTATCCCGAAATGAACGGTAGCGGAAAATTGGAAAGGTCTTCAATCAATCCAGCTTTCCGAACCAACAAGTCAAGGACCCACTTCGTCGACGCCCTACTAAAAGGTAAGCCTTTATTACCCTATCAGAGGCGTGCTTACATTATTCTACCGGCAGCAAATTGGATAACTTTAACCAAGGAAAACAAACAGTAGAAATAATGCATGCAAATAATACGGGAAATACTTCAATTAATACATTTAAGTCGTTAATTAGAAAAGTTTGAGGAGTTTGATTGTCAATTAAACTCTAATTATCACTGTTGAACTTCTCTAAAGTTAGAGATAATTAATTAAACTAATTATTTTTAACGTTTATATTCTTCTACTTCCACTCTAAGCACCAACAAAAATTAAGACAGAAAATAATATTATTTATCATGAGGTACAAAACGAAACGAACGTTTTGGAAGTTTCTCCCCGAAAGTCACAAATAGAATTAATCGAATTGATGCGCCGCTGCGTCGCGACGCCATCAGAACTTTACCGAGCGCAAATTTTATTAGCAACAAGTTTTTATCGGCGCGCCGGGCGCGCGAGAAGAAAGTCGGCGCCCAATTTCCACGAGGATTCTTACCTGTGCTCGAGTTGATTGCGAAAAAACCCTCCGGATTGCCCGAGCTGATCTTGTATGTTATTTTTTGGTGCGGGTCCTTATCCCGATCCGCGGCTCTTATTTGAAGGACCGTCGTGCCTTCGGGGCTCTCTTCAGGTATGTTTGGATAGTAAACCGCCTCTTCGCTCAAAGGGACGTTATCGTTCTCGTTCAAGACTTCGATGTACACCTGAAAATCGATCGATAATTCTATGTTAGTCACGTAGAGGCATTAGATATATACGACTAGAGCGGTTCGTATTAAATAAATAACGGATTTTCTTTCAATATCCGCCGTAAAAATCGATTGGCAGAACTCATTTAATGTAATCGTTATTTTTTGAAACGTCCAACTCTAGTACAATACAAAATTTTCCTTTATTAAGAGATAGGTGAACTAACAATTATACCAATAGGTAGCATTTTAATAGAGTAATGTAGTAAACAAATTTTGCATTTTTTTTAAATTCTCGATAATTTGCTCGTCCTGCATACATTACAGTAAGTAATTTACGGTTAACTGTAAATTGCAGGAGGAAGGATTTTTTTATAAAAAAAAATCTGGTGAATAATTGATATATTGAAGCTATACGAAGTTAATTAAAGGCAGTTTAAATGCACATCAGCACCTTCGGTGGTATTTATAGGATTTAAATAATCTAATTATCTCGTCGGAGGTGAGTTTTATAGCTTCGGGATACGTTCGAACGGGTCAGGACACGGTTAAATAAGCGGTTAAACGTTTTTTTTCAGTGTTACGGTATTTTTTTCGCCCAATCGCTATTGAAGGTCTAATTAATTCGAGCGTTCAATAGAGGTACTCAAAATTTATTACATTTTTGAATCGCACAAAAGTGAATTGAAAGTCCTCTTGATTTTCTATCTACAATAAATCCCCGATCTCGCAATTAGGACGAACGATTCTGGATAGATAGCTTGAAAGGCGAATATTCCTGCCAACTTCGCACTCGAATTTCTTACGGAAACTTTTCGGGGTAAACACTTCGAAGATCAGAGTTTACCAAACAGACAGTTTAAATAATGGATATCGATTGGGAAACATTTTTACACTTATCAAAAAAGTTTGGAACGCTCGATTTGGATAAATCTAGCGCCAATCGTATATATTTTAGTTTCGAATTCCCCTACAATACCTTCATTTTAATCGTTTTATTGAAGTAACACGAATACCATAAACTCCCATAAAATTAGTCCTTATTTAGAATGATATCTGTTAATGATAAAGTAAATAAGCAGCAGTATTATATCGCTTTGTTTCCACCCTCGTTCGATCGTAAATTACGAATTCGACTCCCCTCCTTCAAAAATAATTATAGACGCCAGAAGGAAAAAAAAAGAAGAAATTTGACCCTATCCCTAACAGAAACACAAGAGATAGTAATCTGACGTCTTAATAGGTCCCCGCGGAGCTATTGAACCGTTTTACTCAATTCCTTAATAGGTCCGATGCTGATGGAGGAGAAAAAATGGACAAAGCCAACGCGCTAATCCCATTTAGAACAATGGCTTTGATTTCTGAAATCCGATTATAAGATATCCTCATATTAAATACACTAATTTATTACTAAGCAAAGCTCGGATTAGATGCATTTTTTGTATGTATTCCGAGCTTTACTAATAAGAAAGTTTCTTTAAGTACACTAAAAAAAATATTCATCTAAATAATTCACAACACGGCATTGCGTTGGTGGAATTGAATCTCTCAATTAGGCGTCCTACAACAGCGCTCCCGTAATTCCGCCACGTATACGTGCGTATACGCTCCCCCTCATCAAAATTTTAAAGCCGCTCCTGCATGCGATTAGCATAAATCCATGCATATTACATAAGGTAATTCGAATGTGAAAATAACAAAATAAATGCAAATGAAAAGGAAATAATATCATTCTTGGCTCTCGAACGAAGCATGAATGGAGGAACGTTTCACAATTTACGCCGGCCCACTGCGCCCGATAACTTTCTCTGCGAGATTTTGAATTTCGAATGAGAAGGTGTGGGTGGGTTTACGAGTTACTATTTTTTTTTGTATCGAATGTAATGGTAGCGTGACCAGACTAGAATGCGACAAACAGGTGAATTTATACGGCGATCCCGTGGATTCTGTTATTTTTTGGGGTTGAAATATAAGTAAAAATTAAGGCTAGATAATGTGCCGGGGACCACCTAAGATGTATTTTAATTTAGACTAAATATAGATGGATTCTCATTGGGATTTTTAACGTCGCCCACAAGTAGTGTCTTCCGCGTTTTAATGATTTTCATCTGTATAAAAGATAGGTATTTAATGAATGAACGGATCAAGGTAGGACCGTAAAAGCGTTCATATCGAAAGGAAGATGTTGCTATAAAAATTTTATAGCTAAAGGAACTGTTTTTTTTTATTAGATGCATTACAAAAATACTTATTACTTTGTTTTAGGTACTTTCATTCGGGCTTCATTAAATTTAGACAAATTTTGTGTTAAATCGATTGATTGAAATAATAAATAGGTATACTATGTATGTACGCAAGTTTATGACAATATTAAATTATTAGGATTTTCATAGCAAAATGAAATTCTTTAAAAATCCACCTATACCTATCTATAAATTTTCATAAATTTTTCAAACGAACTGTGGTTACGCTCTGCATGGTGATTTCGCGCGATTTTCTCTTATTGTGGAGATCTTTGAAACGCTCAATTTGCGTGGCATGATTACATTTAAATTCCTGCGATATTGGATTTTTGCAGGAACAACGTTTCTACTGATCTACATCAGTATATGTTGTTTCTATTGGGAAAAGGGAAATAAACGAATATAGGACGATGAATACAGGACATTGTGGAAACAACAAATTAATAATTCACCCCAAACAATCAAAGAAAATGGAAGAGTATATCATTAGAATTATTACAAACATACAAATAAAATTTATTGCATAAAACGGTAAAAATATTATGAAAATTTATGATTTATTGGATTATATGGTGGACATTCTTCTATATTCTGATTAAAATTACTTCAATTCAGACAAAAGAATATTTTAATATTTCAAATTTTGTTTAGGTATTATTTTTTCAAAAAATGAAATCTGCGAATCGGTCTTAAATTGTGCAAACTACCACCCCTAGAATTTAGTGCCATAAGTTCGAGAAAACCTGTATTTTTATTCGATTGAAACGCAACGTTGTGGTGCGTATTTTCTAAAAACTCGGTTCGTTTTTGTCTTGTAAAAATGTGTATTGTTTGCATTGGAGAATTGTTTTATTTGAACATAATGTAATAAGAATAGAGACGAAACGAACATTGTGTAGGCAAACAAAGAAAATATCCCGGGGGATAGAGTTATTTTTGCTATATCCATTGATATTCGACGCGCTGAAAAACGTAACGTTCTTTTTTATTTCGAAGGAAAAAATATTCACGCCATATTCGGCTGTTCTAAATCGTAATTTATTACCGTTCGCATTTATTTAATATCGTACAAATCTTCTTATTTAACGTGGATCTTGGCGAGTTGTTAACTTGAGCATATTGGAATGGAGGATCTGCATTTAATTTTTATTTTACTCGTGCAAGAATAAGCCGATTTTAGAGCAATTTATTACGCGTTTGTCGTGCACTAAGCGCTTAAAGAGGATCTGGCCATGCTTTTAATTCCGTGGAAAATATCGCATTATTATTCTCCGCACTATAAATACGCGAAATTTCTAAATATAGTTCATCTGCAATCACTTCCAACAAAGATTTTCCTCTCGGCTTCTCGCATTAATTTTAAAATCGATTTCGATTTATAGGAATGTGAGATGCATTGAGGTAAACAGATTAAGTTTTGATGTAGAAGCACATACAGAACAGGCAATTAACAGATATGAAGTTATTAGCTCGCTAAATGGATGGAATTACGGATGGCACGTCTCAAGGGAGGATCCGCAGATGGGATATGTGCAACACCCGAAGGTTCCAATTAAATTTTTAAATTATTTGAAATTGCTTTATTACACTGCGCACATGAATGTTTACGATTGATTAATGTCCTTTGTATAATGACTGGTGATTTTTCTATTTTGGTTCTATAGCCCATTATTACAAATATTAATGAACAAGGGGAGAATTCCTTCAGGGGTGAAGGAGCCTCAGTTTGTGGTGGATCATACAGTATATTTTTTTTATTAGGAGAATATAAAGCGAAGGTTATACGATAAAAATACATAAAGGCTGCGGTGGAAGGTGGGTGTACACTTAAGAAAACAATTTGGCAAAACCTTCCCTTTCATAAACTTTCATAAAATCCCCGTTATGAAAGCAATATCTCAGGTCGTAAAAATCATTCTTCGCTCTTTGCTAAGATGTAGAGTGGTTGTTGTTCTGTTTACGGTTGGATTTTCTTAAAGCGTTGATTCTCTTAATAAAATTAAGTCCGCCATTCCGACGAAAATCCAACACAGAACAGATGTAATATTTTGTTAACTTTAATAATATCCTAAAAGCACAGGCTAATTTTTTAAAAGCCGTCCAACGAGATACGATAAAACATCTACTGGTAATCCCATTATTTTTTAAGGGCTTTTTAAATGGATTGCCTTTAAATGAATTTATAAATTATTGTTAATAGTAAATACAAAAAAAATATCGACCGAAACACCGGTTTTGTGCAATTACACCGATTCCACATATTTCGCTCTCTCGAAATAGCGTCAGTCAAAATAAATCCGTTCGTTCCTTATCTGATTCAATTTCAGTTAAAGCTTTAATTGCCGACTTTAATCATTTCATTTACCGAACTGCCAATTGTAATAGAAAATTGGAAAATGCACTACCGACGTGAAATCATTTATGTGCCGCTGATGGTCTGGTTTACCCGATTCCACTTGATTTTTATTTAACAAAAAATATAGTAAATATACAGTGGATGGAGTTGACGAGACGTAAAAAAAACACTCTATATTTTTCAAAAAACAATTCAAAAAAACGCCACTGGCAGTGTCGCATTGTCATCATTTATATCAATTTAGCCGTGCAACATAATCAAGCATACGTTCTGTTCTAAACAAGAACATCGTGCTAATAGCCCCTTATCTCCCTTTTGAGAGGACACCTACTTACAGCCCCTTCCTTAAGGAATCCGCAAAGTTTCCCAGTCGGAGTTAGTTTTATTAGCCCTCCCGTTAATTTCCGGCATTCGAACGGCAAGAGGACAACGCCGCAGCTTTAATAGAATAAATATGACCGCGTGAGCCTTTTAAACCGAACAGGAAGGTGCGTCCGAGAGCCGGATCTCCATTAGTTATTGAATTAGATCTCAAGTCGGTGGAATTACAAATGGACTCGAGCTGTAACTAGTTGAAAAGTAAACTTTGCCATTCGATTATTTAGACTAATGCGTCGGGAACGCCGCATCGTCGAACTTCTAACTAAATTATCCGGGTCATATTTAATTGAAACAATCCAAATTGTTGTATCAACAATGGCGCGACTGAGTGGAATTGATATACAAAAGGATTTTATGCGATTTGCATTTTAATTAATTCACATATTTTGTACATACAAATAACCAAAATCTGGTAAATCAATTCGATTTTTCTCATTAATACATTCCCTTTTGGAAAACTTTGGAAAGGCACCAATGGATATCAGAGCTTTAGTTTCGCCGTAACAACATCACCGTTGCCTATTTTGAATTTGAAAGCGACGCCAGGTCACAAAAGGAAACGAGAGATCGTATTGATAAAGGTAAAATTAGCTTACGCGGTCGTTTTTACAATAAAACGAAATTTACATAGCGAATTATATAGTAAAATTCGTAACGGTAAGTCGAATGGAATTGCTTGGAATATTGGAAAATGCTCACGAGTCAATCATTATAATTTCAAATAACATCAGTAGAAGGTTGGTAACTGTTACTTGTATAACGTCTATCTCTAATATCGTTTAATGTCATTCATTAAATTGAAATCGTAAATCGTGTGAAAGTAGAGGTGAGCATTTCTAAAAATAACGTAAATGCTACGTGAAATAAATTTTATAATTTTATAAGGAACATTTTCTAACTCTAATTTTAATGCCTTCCGGAGATAATAAGTGACATTTAATACATCAATGTTATAATTTTTTTCAACATGTTTAAAAACACAGTATCAAAATCACAAAAAATATTGTAAAATTTTCTAAATTTCACGTCGAAAATGGACGCTCGCAACGAACCATTTTGGGTAAACTTTCGTATGGATTGTTTTACATCGACTTTCCAGGATTTGGAACAGACGGAAAAATTCGATAATTCCAAAGCTTATTACTTGAAAACATTGAAAAATATCATTAATCACATCAATAAATTACTGCAAAAGGCTTATCAATTGGAAGAAAATTTAATTAACGCCGTTTTCGATATGGATACTGCTGTTATTAATAAATTTTTGAGAGATTACCAGTACGGCTGGCTGCCCAATAAGGACTTTCTGTTATCAAAAATAGGTAAATTAGTCCCTAAATATTCATGAAATCCTTTTAAAACGCACTGAAAATGATCTTTTCAGCAAAAATTTTCATTAAAATTCCAATTTTTAAAGCACAGCACATCAAAACTTGTTTACGTTTATGCCAATATTAATAACTTTCCATATAACATTAGCTAATTAATTCACAATAATTTATAAACTTTTAAGCGTTTCTGCCGATTCGAATATACAAATAACAGTTTAAAGGATCAAATTACAAAATAAATTTATGTTTGTGCGAATAATTTAAACAAAAATCAATTCATTTGCAATGTTAATTCAACAAATTCAAATGCTCACATAATGGAAGCAAATTACATTCATAAATTTAACTATCATAAACGATAGAAATAAGATAAAATCTCCCCGTTATATTTTTATTGATTTATTTTTATTTCTTTTGACTAAAAATACTAGATTCTTCTTTAGTATAAGTTATTTGCTTGAAAATCATTTTTTGTAGTAAATTCTGTCGAAAAATATTTGTGTCGTGTCAGGTATATAATAAATAAAATTTATTATCTTGAAGATAACGGGGAATTGAAGGAGAACAAAATCGAAGAAATCCTCCCGGTCGTCTACACGAATTTGCAAACGGTCTCCGCCGGTCTGGAGCTCATCATCGAATACGAAAAACACGAAGAATTCGAGACGCTCAAGTCCTATTTGCGGGCCGTCCTCTGCGAAATTTACACCGCTTTGATGGACTGTCAACTGACACTGCCGGAAAACGTAACGCGTTCGATCGTCCCGCCGGAAATTCGCGGCATGATCAAAATCCCGGAAACCAAATTCAGAAACTGGATCATCTTCAAAAACTTCATCGACACGTTGAATTGCATTACCGACGTTTTCCTTAGATTTTTGTCGAACATCTCCGATGAGTGAATTCTATATTATACCGTTTTAGCTGTAAGTAATCGATGATATTTTAAGGTAATAATAAAATTCGTAATATCAACGTTGATTTTTATACGTGATAAAATCTGCGAACGGCATCTGCTTAGTTAAGTACTGGATTTACAATCAGGAGACGGCAAATTGGTCTTTTTTTCTCTAAATACTCGAAGAAGAGAGCGTTAAAATTTATGAAAACTGAAGCAATAACTCGGATTCGAGCCGAAACTTCGATCTTATCTGCATAATTCCCGATAAATTAATCCGGCCGTGGAAAATCGCGATGGCAATAAAAACTTATTAAACGCTATCGGCGTCGCTTCTTCAACATTTCGACGTTTTTATCGATGTCCCAGCCGGTCCCGAAACTCCAATCGAGTTTATATGTGGTGCAAATGACGCCTGTTCGTTACCGTTTCTTCCGGACCGTCCGGAATTATCGCAGCATTCAACAAGAAAATCGAAGTTTTTAGAATCATATTCCAAGTGTTACAAATATGGTATAAATAAATGAACTCTGGATGAGTTAAAATTTGCTCGTTTTAGGTATAAAGATTGTCGTGTTACTTATAATAAGCTAAAAAATCTAAAGACAGATGCTTCTAATTTGCTTTAATATTAGTCAACAGAATTAGCCGCTAAAGAGAGCCATGTACTTGTACACAACTGTTCCGACTAAACCGAGCTTAATGGAAATTTAAACGTCCCAACGATAACTTTTGTGGGACTTATTGTAAAATTAATATTTCAAAATTAATGGCTGTATTAACTAAAACCTGGCGAGTAGTGCAATGGAAGTTAAGTCGCGTCCTCTAACGTTTTTCCGAGTAATTATTCTTAAACGACCGCTTTATTTATTGCTCCTTAAACTCGGTATATAACCCAATTTCGTTTAACGAGAAAGTAGCAGATTCCTATCTTAGTTAAGTCGCTTAATTAGTCGATTATAGCTATGCAAACGACCGAAACTATTAGAATGGCGGAATTGCGAAAGAGATAAAGGGAAATAAAATGATAAAAAAAATATTGCAAGCGAACGGGCGCAAGCACGGTTGCTAAATGTAATTTAAAAAGTACATTTCGCCGTCTGCAGTGTCTGCACGCAACCTGAGACATTGACACGTTCAGGAATGCACTGCACATATCAAAACACGATGCACATAGGGCGATATATCCAAAATTTAATTCCGCAAAAATACTATATTATTTACGAATTTATCTCCCGTGGAAAATCGATAGATCGTAAACGATTTAGTACACCGTTGTCCAATTACCCGCACGCCATATTGATATTAAGTTGAACGAATTTGGAGAAACTGAATCCACAAAAGTAAATTCTCACGTATACCGAGCCAACCATATTAAAGTAAAGTTAGAATAAGTTAGGTAATGTTAACTTTGAGTTTCCACAATGTTCGCTTACAGGCGAAACAATAGAGGGCCTACTGCGATCGAAAGTTGGAAATTTGTTTAAAAAAAGTACATACAATGTTATGAAATACAATAAATTTGTGGAGACGCTTTAATAAAACTCACAGAGGTTTATAATTTGGTGAAGGCGCTTTAATGAAACCCGCAGGATATTTATAATTTTGGTGAAGGCGCTTAATAAAACCCACAGTAATTTCAAATTAGGTGGAGGTGCTTTGATGAAACCCTCGTAGCTTAAAATTTGGTGGAGGCGTTTTAATGAAACCCAGCAATGACCTGCTTAGATACATTTTGTTTCGAACGTATGTAATTTGATAATTATTCCTTTACAATGTACGTACCTTGTACGTACGTGAGATTATATGGTTATTTGGAATGCGTATTGAAAAAAGCACTTACCTCGACACTCGATACAAGCGGTATAATACCGCGATCTTGGGCGAACACCGTCATCCAATAATGGCTTTTGGTCTCGATGTCTAACATGGCCAATGTTCTTACGACACCTGTAAGGAAAAATAAATATTCAGTAAATAAATCCGGCAGCTATTTAGTCTTTAAAACTACCAAGAACAGATGTAATAGAATATCTACAGATGTAGTACTTCTTATAAACTTGAATTATTGAGATATATTAAGTAAAAGTTAATAAACTTTTTGAAAGTCTTTAGTTCTTTAAGAAAGTTTTCGGTCGATATTAGAGCACTTTTATTTGTGCAAATATTTAAGAACTTTCGAATAAATAAGAGGAATTTGAAAAAAATATGTATTCAAGTCCGGTCCGACCTTTCCAGTATATTTCAGGCCGAACACGTCCCTCACAACAATCCCGCATATTCTGTAAGGGAATTTCTATAAAACATATTTTTCTCCTTACATTGTATTCCAGGTGTCTTACGAACAAGATTCGCCAGGAATCTCTGGAGAAATAATGCGAAACGTTGAAATTTTATACGATGCAGAAATTATTTTCGTTCGTTGTTTTACTTTCTGGAGGAAATACATTTAACGAATGCGCCAGTAAATCTTAAGCACAGGGCAACGAAATTTGTTGAAGCCAGTAAAGACAATAAAGTTATACAATAAAACACAACAAATAGTAAAGTGGTAACGCGATTTTCCTAACGAATGTGTACAAACATAATGCAATTTGCGGATCTTAACAGCCAATTGAAAATTTAAATTTTTTCGTTTAGACTAGCGCGAAGATTCGGCCAAGGCGATAAATTTTATTCCACAATTCGAAAATGTTAAACGACGTGTGGCGGAAATTCGTGAGAAAAATGACTACGAGCCCTAACCTAATCTTAAAAAAGGATCAGGAAAGTTCATGAACTCGTACGCACCTTAATAGAGACACTATTTTATTTGGTTTCCAGTCAAGATCATTTTTTATATATCGCGTAGAAAGATTTTTTCTGGTCGAGAAAGAAAATTATTTATAGGAATTTGGAGGATGTACCTGCAGCAACATTTTCATCGATTTATCGATACACGAAAAATGTATCTACAAGCTCAAATTTATTTTATAAAAATTGAATATACTCGCATATTATCAAGATCTTAACTACTTATGTTTAGTAACATTTTTAGCATTTTAAACAAATAAATCCTGCGCTTTTGTAGTGGCTCAAATAAATTTTATACGTACTTCGAAAAGTACTTTATCTCCATTTATTTCTGCTCAACAACCGTTTTATGTAAAATTTTATAGCCCTGCACGTTTACACAATGCTGCTGTCTGTTTTTTTTTGTTCCGCTCTCGTGTAGCTACTAGTTTTCTTCAAAATAACCATTTGAGCACCATGTAATGTCATTGTATCGCACAGAGGGACTGTATTTTCAAACAAAACGAAAAAACTGTTTTAAAAACAGCGACATTTTCCAGCAAACTTTCGCATCAACAGCGGTAAATAAATTGAAATAATTTTACATATAGGTACGCGGTCGATAGTAATATTAATATGCGCGAATTTGCGGTATTCAGTCTGCGGTTTGAAAATTCCAGCGTAATAAAATATTGAGATGAAATTTGATATGTCGATAACTACAATAGATATAATATCTGTCGATATAGGTAGACATTTGATTTCAGTGTAGCGTAGGGGATTTTAGAAACTATCAATAGCACACAATTGGTCCCAATAAAACTACTTCGAACTCGATGCAACAGCAATAGGATCAAAGAGCGTGGAAATATATTCTTGGCAAGTCGACTGGAAAAAATTTACAGCGCGTGCGCTATTGTACCTTATTTTGTAAATATTTACAATTTACACAAATTGCGGCTATTCTTCTAGGGTTTTTCGTAGCCTTTTTAATCTCGAAACACGGTTTTTCCAAGTTAATTCGTCAAGGGAAGCGCGCCGGATATTGATTGTCGGCAATTCAATCGGAATTTATTGGCTATTTCTCCGATTTGCGTAACCGAATTTATCTTAATGCATATCGTTGGATTGAATGATTGTAAATTTTGAAGATGATGGAGAGCAAATATGTATACGCAGAAGATACCCACTATCTAAATATAATAGCATATCTATGATGCATTATAAATTGTAATAAACTTCAAAGTGCCATAAACTTGAAAGTGCGGCATCAGGAAATGTTAATAAAATCTAATTTTATATGCAAATGACATCAGCACGAGTAGTCGAAGGAAACGGAGAATTCCAAAAATTTTAAGGTTTTACCATGGTGTAATAGTAATGTTTATTTTACTTTAGTAGTGCTACTCTGTATAAAGGGTATTCAACAATACACAACCCTTTTCTAACCCAGAAAAAGTGAGCTGAACACAGTGCACAGTCGTGCTTTTGAAAATAACATTTTTACTGAATATTCAAATTCAATATAAAAATTATATAGCAATTAGTTATTTTTCCATAAATATAACGAAACAATACTGTTGATTGAACAATTACAAATTTTCACGTAACAAAGCGACATTTTCGTACAAGTAGCGAATAAAAAATGATAAACTCCGGGCGAATCAATTATTTAATTCATCGACGATCGTTTGTAGGCGAAACGCTTTCCAAATAAATCAAAAATAAAGTGCGAAAACGCCATCGAATGAATTCGGAATCATTCAAACCGACGGCCCATAAAATTTAATAAATAACGCGTACCTGCGTTCTGCAACATGCCTTTCGATGGCGCCATAAAAAGCCCGAACGGGCCGTTTGCCGCCTACAAAGGGCCAATCTGCAGGCTATAAAAAGTCGCGCGTTTCCGTTTTAAAAACCGGCATATTTTCCGCAACAAATAGGCTTCGAAAAGTCCGCTCCTAGCCTCACATATAGGTTCCGATAACGGCCTCGATAAGGTTTTTTAATGGGGGTTGTTCGAGCGGGACGTCGCGCGCGTTTGAAGGGCGCCGGCAATAAACACTTCATCGCAAAATGGCGTTCGTTCACGGGTCGCTCCGGAGTATCCGCAAAAGCCGAAATCGGCGCTTCATGCCGCGCGAGAATCGGAGGTTTGCGCTTGGGAAATTTAATCAAGCCCGACGATTTTGAGCGAGCAATTTTTTAACCGAATACCGAATATCATCCACTTCGTTTAGTTGACATTTATTTCGACATGAACGCCG